CAAATTGTCCTGGAAAAAGGGAAAAATCAATTGACAATTGTTAGGATTTGAACCCGACGTGAATCGAACACGCAACCTTCTGATCTGGAGTCAGACGCGCTACCATTGCGCCACGGATCCAGTGATATTACATGCCAACAGAAAATTTATCAAACCAAAAGATTGAACGTTGAAAACAAATTGTCCTGGTAAAAAGGAGAAATCAATTGACTTTTGTTGAGATTTGAACCCGACGTGAATCGAACACGCAACCTTCTGATCTGGAGTCAGACGCGCTACCATTGCGCCACGGATCCCTTAATGTTAGGTTGCCCACATAAAATATTAATATATTATTTCTGAATAACAGTATAGTTAGGTTAAATAAATTTGTGTTGAAATCAAACACGACCGGCGATGACCACAACATTGAGCGTCCATGTGTCGTAGAACAACCTATCATCACATGTTTTGTGCAAGGATTGCTATCAGATGATGTCGATGAAAACCCAAAGTAGAACAGCAAATGCTCGTTCGTGTTTTTGGTGAAACAATATATGACCACTGGCGTACTGCTGGTGAGAAAGACTATGCATCCATCTCAGACAGGTTTTTCCAATCCAAAAAGAAGCTCACAGAATAAAATCATTCATACAATCCTACAAAAGCATGACAGCAAACAGTTGTTGTCAAGTTGGACATCACAGTCTCATAGTATACCTGATGAATTTGCAGACAGCACGACATATACTCGGCCTTTAGCTTCGGAAGTACCTATTACAAATTGAACAAGTCCGGCCATCTCCACACCTAGTAATTGGATGAGGATGAAATTATCTTTGTGCAAAATCTGGGGCAACAATTGAAGAATGTACAAATCTTTCCTCTCTCTAAGTGTCGTTGCAACTCGCATCGCTTAGCTTCTTTCAGCATTGTTGTAGCAACAATTGATTGATGTAAGACTGCAGCGATTTCATAACCCTGGACAAGAGGAAGAACTTCATGTAATTAAGCTTAGAAAGCAAATTTAATAATCTAGTCCTTAGGGGGTTCAAAAAATTATAAAACAAAGCCTCTGAGTTTGAAACCAAAGGAAAATTTCCCTGGAAATTCTACTCATGCACAAAACAAGGAACTTCAGTTGCAAGAATGAGTTCCTATTGTGCCACCATTAGAATTGGATCCAAATTCCACATGACAAGTCATACATTGATAAGATAATTAGGGAATACTTATCTGAACAGTGATATTAAAGATAATTTCATGTCAATTACTGAGCACAATGATAATTGTCACTTCAGTGCTAAAAAGGTTAGCCTTGTGATTTGTAATTCTCATAGAATTAACTTTCTAAAGTAATGCACAAATACCATGACTTCAATACTAGTGATGCAAATAGTCTAAGAAACTAGGACGACAATAAGAGCTAAAGTTAACAACAACAACAAAAATAAATATTTTACATATCGATTTGACGCTTTTCATGGTTAGCTTTGATTTGAATTATTTGCTTCTTCATGTTAGTGAGTATGATCGAGTTCGATGACAGTGTATTTCAGAAACTGAGAAGTGTGGCTTTAATAATTCAGATTAGTCAAATATAATTTTATCACTCAAAGGTCATTCAACTTCCTATCATTTCAGAATCAATCATTTATACTCTAACCCAAGATCCACTCTGGTGTGCATGATTATTATATCCAAATATGTAGATATCAAAATTCATATGATTTGGACAATTCTTTAGCATTTATCATAATGATAACAAATCAATGGTCTAAAAAACGTTCATGCAAGAAAGATGATCAATTAATTAACATCACAAACAGTTGATCAGACCCCCTAATAAGGAGCATGGATTGGATTAGGGAAGCAATCTCTCTTCTACTTATATGTATACTTATATGTCTACATATAAGCGATAAACTTCGGAGCAACCAATTAGAATGTTCAGAATCACTGCTTATCTAGCTGTTAAAGATAAGAAATATCTCATACCTGAAAAGGACTTCAAATGAACCCCATCCATTATATCTTCAGAATACCAATGTGGTGGGATCATCTCAGGTACTCACATAGATGTCAAGCAGCTCAGGTCCTTTTTCTTTGTCGATGAGAACAATCTTCTGCATAAATACATTTTCCAATAAACTAAAGATGGTATAGTGCTTGCAGTGCCCCCCTATGAAATCCTTTAGACTTGCAATTTTCCATCACACGATACCGAGGTATCATCCTGTTCTTCAAACTAAATAGCAGTATTGGATGGCGGGCAATGCGGGATGCTGTATATTCAACTTTCTTGACCAAAAATTCCATCTTTCTCTGCAACTCGTTTTTGGATAAACACCACATGGTCGGCACCCTTCTGAATGCATACGAGAACTCCGACTCCGACTATCCGACGCTTGTCATGAGCCTGATTACAGCCTCCGATTTCTTTTTTGTGGAGAACGACAAGGGTCCACAGGAACATCCTAGACTGTCGGGGCACTCCGGGGTGATTCCCGAGGTTGGAGGACGAAAAGTGGGCGCCTTTTCACAATGAGCGATGTCCTATCGTCGGTGATGCCGCACTCCTCCCTTGTGAACGACGGATTAGGAAGTAACATCTTCTCGATGCCGCAGCTCAGAAACAATGCTTTCGTCTTCATTTGCTTGAGGAGGAGCTTCCTTCATCCAATGAGTTTTCCCCACATCTCCAATATGGAAAGGAGTGAACCGATGCTTAGCTTGACCATGCGGCAGGGGTGAGTCATGACGATCTGGATAAGTTCGGAGTCCGAAGAGCCCATATCGCTGAGGACCGGAACTTTGGGCCAGATTCTTCTTCACGTCGCAGCAGAGGATTTGGGGGTGAAAAGATACAATCTTTCTGAGGTAAGAGTCATCGAAGCCATGGGATGTCAGGAAACCAAGGACGACGTCAAACTTCTCCGTGGATGTGAGGCGCGCAACCGCCTCGTTGGCCTTGGATGCCTCGGCGGCAGAGCACAGTTCACGAGGTACTCGACCAAGGGATGAGGGTTGGGGGATGGGAGCAGTAGGAGGAGAAGAGAAGGTCTACGAGGCAGCGGCAATGGAAGAATCCGGGAAGACCATGACGACGGACGAAGGGGAGCATCTCAGCTAGGAGAGCGGCCGTAACCCTCGCGGTCTGAAGTGCCGAACCGAACTCGTTCAAAATTCAAATACTTCCACGAATATTCCTCGATTAATATTAATCCCGACAAAGAAAACTCAGATTAATCTCTTCTAATTGTGATTAATATTTAATTATTATTTGATAAAAAGAAAAGATTATTCCTTCAAAAATTATTCTGTGTAGGTTTTTTATAGACACAAACATTTTAATTCATCCAAGACATCTTAAATCACATCAACTCATTCCATCATATAAAACCAAGATTGTAATGAAGACACTAATTACATAATAAACATATACAATATATTTATTTCATAAGCAAGTCCGCAGTGCACTTATTTATGTATATATCAACCTACTCCATTCATGCATGGCAGACTACGTGCATCGACGTGGCATCACGTGATGTAGGTGACTGTTCAAGGGTGCGGTGGACCACGAGGAGGAGCCGGAGGGCCGGGCGGCGGCGGCGGTGCGTGTGGTGGATGAGGCGGAGGCCCGCCTGGCTCCGGAGGTGGAGGACCCCCAGTGGGGGGAGGACCGCCGTGTGGTGAAGGCTGGGGAGGATGCATCTTCTTCTCCCCAGAGTCATAGCTCTGCCGATGAGCTTTTGTACTGGGTTGGTATCTGAAGGTCAAACCTAGCAGTCACAGCTCTGGTGGCTTTTACTTTGCCTTGAATCTTTCCGATCAACTCCATGTTTGTAGATGTTAAATCAGGAGTCATATTAACTCAAATTTATGACTACATAATAGGTGAGATGTGTGACTTGGAGAGGCTAAATGATTGAGAGAAAGAATTTTATGCGTAAATTAAGATTAGGATATGAGGAGATTATCATTGTTTACACAGGTGGCAACAAACTATTTACCATAGTTAAATTTTTTTATTATAATTATTGTTCTAGTTTATTTTTAGATATATTTTTTAAAAAAATTATTGATTTTCTTGATCATACCTCATTCCTTGTACGAGGATTACAGAGAAGAAGACAAGTGTTCTCATCACCTCTACCTCTCAGTCCCCTTCTTTTTCGTGTGAGAACAAAACAAGGATGCGCAAGGATAGAGGTGGAGGTAGATACGATGAGAGTTAGGGGTAAAATTATATTTTTACTCTGTAAGAAAATGTTTGGTGAGAATTTTTAAAAGTTGAGATGTTGTAAAAAAAATCTCAAATATAATTTTTTTAAAATTCATCCCAATTATTCTTTTATCATCTTACATTATTTATTATCATCATTTTCTTTTCCTATTTTCATCATAATTATCATGAAAAGATATCATATTCTATATGTTTAATATATTTGTATATAAGTATGATTTTCTTTTTTTTTGTATGGACTAATTATCAGCCTCTACTTTTTTTAATCTTCTGAAATTATATCCCGTTTGAATTTATTGCCACCTTTTTTCCCTTGTCTCATTTCGAGAAAATTGAGTAAATTTAAATTGTGAATTAAGTTTTTATTCATAAAAATTGATCTAAACTTGACTAAATCAAATTTAATTTTCTTAATTTTTATAAGGTGATTAATAGCCATAAGGAAGTTCTTTGAATATATTTTTGGGCAAAAACACAAATTACATTATTTTAGGAAAAAAAATTTATAATGACTATATTAAACTTAAATGTACTAAATTAAACTTAAATATAATAAAATATAATATAGCAATTATGAGAGTTCAAATCATTATTGTATAAACGTGCATGGGTTGAATTATCCTCGAAAAGGATCAGGGGTGATGTCACCTCTTATTGGAGGGTAATTTAATCCCCAAATTAGCTCCTTTTTTTTTTGAACAAATATATGTTGTTGTTATTATTATTTATTTCCATTTCTCTCTTTTTTGTTTGTGGACAATAAGAAGGGGGCGAAACTATTTGAAGGCCGCGTCCACAGCTGGCCTTCTTCTTCCTTCCCTCCGCTTCTCCTCGGCCTCCTCCTTTCGCTCTGAATCAAGCGATGGGTTCAGGAAGCAGTCGCATGGCCCCGCGGTTGCCGCGCCACCGGCCGCGACGCCGGCCGAGGCTCGGGCTCGCCGCCTTCCTCTGCGGCGGAGCCGCGGCCGTCTCTGCCGCCTCCACCTCCTCCTCCGGCTCCTCTCAGGTCCTAATTCAACGATCACGATTTAGTTCTTTGGGGTTGATTGCTTGTCTCGATAGCTATTAGCCGTACTGCATTTCTTGGTTTCTTGGTTGGGGAGATGGTTGCTTAGGTATTCGTTTTGTTGTCGTTTTTTTTTCCACGATGGTTATTATATGTATGTATGTATGTATGTATGTATGTATTTATGTGTTTATTTATTTATGCTTTTTTGTCTCGTTCGATTAGCATAATGATACGATGTTGATAGTGTAATAATGCAAGTTTTTTAGATATGAAAGATTAGGATTATCTCCGGGAAAGTGGATCTCTGATTCATTGAGGCCTGAAATGATTGGTGTTGTGATATCTTTCAAGGAGTCTTATTGGTCTGCAGTCCTTGTCTCTTATTAAGCTCTAATCTTTTTTTGCTCGGTTTGCTGAGTCAGCATATTCTAGTAATCTGGAAATCCTCATGGTTAATGACTTCTAAGAGGATGGATGGGATGGTGACCTAAGGTGGTTACACAAACATGGTGACTCATGATGAGAATGAGCACCCTTCGAATATTGGATAGACAAGTTGATATGTGCTCAAAAATGCTTTGTGCTTCTGCTTAGAGATAATAACAAGACTTTTGAGGTTGGGCATTTTCTTATAGAAAGAAGCACCCTGCTCGTGTAATTCTCTATATTGGACCAAGGAGGCATATTATGTTATCCTCCAAGGTACAAAATTTGTGATTCCAAATGGTCAGGGTGGTAATTATGTAAGTGGTAAATTTGGATGAGGTAAACATTTTTAGTTAAATTTAAGTTTGTTGATTTTCTGAGGCCCCACATTGGCGGGAGCCTCGTGCACTGGTTACACCCTTTTTTTTTTAATTTTCTGAGAGACAACAGTCTTTTAACTTCTAGAAGATCTATCTGAAGACAAGATTCTTGGTTCCTTGACTCCTAAACATGACATTGAATCACATGAGAGTTTCCATTCAAAGTCAAAATTATGATATCTTTAACTTGCCAAACAACAAATTGGATTGTTTTTTTAGTAAAAGAAGTTCTGCACTTTCACCAAAATGTGGTGGAAGCCATAAGAAAAGAAATTATTTCTCATTCCAGAAAACCTTACTGTTACTTTTAAGAGTATTGACATCATTTGAGCATACATTTCCTATCCAGTATATTTGACAATGAATGCCGTTGGTGCATTTTTGTGTCTGTTGTAATATCTTTTCGTGTCTCTATTGTTTTGCTTTTTGTGGTTATTCAAAACTTATATCCATTCATAAGGGCATTACTCGTATGTTTTCTACATCTCTAGCCTATGCTTTAAATAGGTTGATGTTAACAGGCTATAAAGGTTTTCTTGATGGCATTCTTCTTAGCAGATTGAAGATATGCCAACGGAGAAATCAGTCAGTCAAGCAAGACTGGATGGTTCTGTATTAAATTCTAATATCCAGATCTCAGTCAAGGAGTCTTCATTAAACTTTTCACAAGACCATAGGCCTTCTAGCTCCACCAATGAAAACATGAGAAATAATCAAAGCAATAATGGCATCAATTGGGATGGCTCGGAAACCTCTTGCCTGGAGATGTTCCAACCTGAGAGGACTTCTGGTCTACCAAGTACCTCAAGGAAACCAGTTGATAATGTTGATGCCGCTTTAGCAACGGTATCAGAGGTTGCTAATTGTGCAAATGATAGTTCCCATAGCTCGCCAAGTTTCTCACGTAGCATACATCAACCTGAGCTTGGAGATTTACATGCAAATGAGATTGTTAACCCCTCAGATGATGTTGTGGGAAACCACGGTACCTATACGGATTACGTTTCTGTTATTCCAAGGTTATCCTCAACTTTGCATTTTTCAAGTGAAGATCATCTAGGTGCAACCTCTTCTGGTTCAGATGCCCAAACATCAACTGGATCAGGTGAGCAGAGAAATGGAAGTCTACTTCATGTTGATTTGGTCAGTGTCTCTTCTGATGTTCCCAGTGGCTCTGGGGAGGAAATTAGTAGCGAGTCACGGAGGAATACTAGAAGACATTTCTGGGATGCCTTTTCTAGACACAGTTCCATGACTGTTGACTCGACAACACTATCTTCAATTTCAGAGAATAATGGTCTAGGATATCAGGACAGGTGGCTACTAGACATTGATGGTCATGCTTTTAGAGATGGGGTTGAAGATGATTCATTATACTTACGGCAGAGACACCATGGACTAAATGGAGTCAGTTGGCATACGAGATCTGAGGTGATCTTTTATTAAGTTCTATTTCAAGTTGTCACATGTTAGTTTCCTTTGCTTAAGGTAAGTTTCTATCCTTTACACTTAACAGCATGCTTCTCGACATTATCAAGGTTCTTTTTTCAATGACTTCATGGGTCACCAACTTTGATGACATTATGGAATTAATGATGTGATTTAATACTTTTGTTGATGTTGTTTCTTTTATTTGCAGAATATCTTTTCTTGTAGTTGTTCAATATTTGCCTTTTTATTTGTTTGGCCTTTTTATTTGTTTGGCAATAATTTTAGATACTATGGTTCTAGGTACAAAGCTTCAACTCTTTCCTTATCATTAATGCATGCATCTGAAGTTTTCAATCAAGTACATATCTTAAGTTATTTGGACTTAAAAATTTCCTCAGTGCAGATAAGGGAGCGTCTTCATTCTGGATCTAATAATAATGATGGACAAGCATCTTCCTGTCCATCAGGTCTCCACCAAGATGGCACATGCTCTTGCACATTGTTAATGACTGAAGTGTCGAGCACCCGAGCCAGTATTGCACGAATTTTTGTGTTAGCTGAAGCTTTATTTGAGGTGGGTATTTTTGTTTCAGCTCTCCTCCTATATATTCAAGTGGTTAGCTTTTTGTTAAGCACATTCTCTAAACTTCTTGAAGTTTGAATGCTCATGATCACTCATGTATTTATTCCATTAACTTCACTTTCAAGCTTGTACTCCGATATAGGCTTCAACATTAATTTGGATTTTAGCCATGGTTGAGAGATGTTACCAAATTTTGACTATATAAGCTTTTGTATTTAAAATGGAGCTGATATTTTCCATCTCCAGTTCAAAAAAAAAAAAAAAAAAGCATGACGGACAATATTAAAAGTTATTTTTTAATGTCAAAGATGCCTATATTTATTTTTGAAGGAAATCACTGCAGATGTAGTTCAAGATTGAGGTTCGCACTTCAAGTGAATTAGACGTTTGTATGTCTCCTATTTTTAGAAAATTGGAGAGGGGGCAGAGTCATCCCCTTTCTTCTTTTCTATTATAGAAAAAAGAATCTGCCTGCAATTGACAGTTTTATCTATTGTTATGGTGCACGTGGTACTACTTCTGTAACATGTTCATCCTAATCGATGTAGTATGATGAACGGACTATGTGCCCCTAGTTTTACTTGCTGCCTTCTTGCTTGAAATGTTTATTGAGTTTAGACTACTATATCTGATTTCATTTATTTTTGTATTGTTTGTTTAGTACTGCTGAATCTTCATTGCCCTCTGAAGAATATTTATGGATGAAGAAACTGAACGGCTTATGAAACTAAGCTTATCACTGGTGCTAAAGTTCTTTATAGTATGTAGGTGATGATGCCAAGAAATATCTAAATGCAATGGAGAAACTTATTGCTGAGTATTACAGTTCATGCTCTTTTATCGGCTTTATACCTTACATTGACATGATTACTCTGCAGGTTTTGGATGAAATTCATCACCAGCCTGGATCACTGTCACTTTCTGTGGTCTCAGTCCCAGCACTGGAATCAGTTGTCAACTCCTTGCCATCAAAGATTCACAAAAAACTCGACACTGCTTTGAGCAAAAATGATGTGGAACAGTAAGCATTTTCATCTGTTCATATTGTTGTCCCTGGAAAATTAGAACCATTACACTACCATATTTAGCATTAAATGTGTACGATGCTCTATGCTACTATTTTCAGATCCCTGTGCTGATTATGCACGAGATGCAGTCTGTGAAACTAAATTAGGACTAATATTATAGTTTTCATTCTAGTTCTCAAAACATGTTCCAGTATCTCCAAGATCTATCGACGATCAGATCCACAATATATTTGGGCTTGCATTCCGTCAACACAGATGATCCTGTCTCTTGCTTCTTGTGGGGAATTATGAAATTTTATCTATCACATGAATATAATGTTGGTATTTACCTTTGATCACTACATGTTTATTAAATTTGAGATTGCTATGTATGTTCGACTGCCATGCAGGCAAGAGCAATAGGTGATCTCTCTTTCACTGTAGCTATTTAGTACGAGAGAAACTTTGAGCTGTTACAAAAGATTGCTAATTCACAATGTCAAACATGTTTAGGATGTTCATCTGCAATTTTTACATGGCTGGTTGATCTATCCTCTAATTTTCAATTTGTCATCGAACAGATTTCTCACTTCAACTAATTATGCACTGAAACATGCTGCTGATGAAATGCGAAAGGGGTTTCTATGTAGTTTCTTTCACACTTATATGCTCACTCCCTGATTCTGTACATACTGTTGTTTTACAGATGTTACATCTGCCTGGCTGATTACGAGGATGGAGACGCCGTGCGAATACTTCCCTGCCACCATGAATATCACATGGCCTGTGTCGATAAATGGCTCAAAGAAATTCATGGGTATTTTACTTAATATTCTCTGTAGCCCTCTGTTCTTTATATATATATATATAAAAAGTGTTTTAACATGGCTCCTCGAACTTGATTTTCTCTTTCTCTGCTACTGGTGCTTACAGTGTATGCCCTCTGTGCCGCGGCGATGTTACGGAAGCTGTTACAGAGAGTTTTATCTCCAACTCATAAAAAAGATCCTCTGTATAATTATGATACTGTGAATATGCTGATCTTGTAGCAAATCCTAAATGGTTCTATTTATTCCACTTCTTTTGGTTCACATTTATTTCCTTGATAATCCTAAATGTCAGATGTTGTTGTATGATCTCAAAATAAACCTTTGAATTTTCTCACGGGGATAGGCTGCGAGCAGTGGGGCCTGAGTGCCTCCCCCCACGTTATAGCTTTTGTATTTTTACCTTTCAAAGCTAGCTTCTTGGCTGAACAAATGATCTATCGGTTCAACCATTGATGATTTGATCAGGTGGATGATTAATCAGTTAGTCTTATTTAACTTTTTTTTTATAAAAATAATAATAATAATAATAATAATTATAATTATAATTATAATTAGGAAATGGACCTTCTTCTATCATGACATTGTCCTATTTTCCTTTTATTTTTATTTCCCTTGAAGATAGTATTTATTCTTCATAGGTAAATTTTGAGATTTGCATTTGATGCATTGCTTCTTCCCATTTGGCTCGGCTCACTGGATTACCTACCAAGTATGATCATCATCCGATCAGCTTTTGATGCTATTATTGGGACAGCTACCATTATTACATGGGGTGGGTCTCATTCACACAATTCTCTATCAATCAGCTTTAGACGCACTCTGCCAAAACCACAATAATTCTCCTTTGGTGTCTGTTAATGGCTGTCGTCGTTTCATAATAGGGACACGCTTCCATTATCGAGATGGTACCAATGTCTCCATTATTTCTTCATGTTCCTCATTTATCTCTCTCATCACATAACAACCAGTCATTATATCTTATATATATATATATATATATATATATCAACTGTCGATGTCATCTGATTTATTAGAAAAGATTTGAAATTATCAACCTTTTACAACTTTCTTTCATAGGATAATTGGTCTATTAATCTCATTAAATTTGAATAATTAGTCTAAAATGCTTAACTAAAGTTACATAAATACATCAAACCATTATAAATTGTTCTAAATCTTAACTATAAATCTTAACTATAAGACTAAATTAAAGTTTTATAATCTTCCTCACCTAATGGCTTGGGCTCTCTTGAAAGCTTAATATAGTCTAGAATTAGATCTTAATATAATATCTGAGTTAGTGTCATCAAGCTTAAAATAGTTTAGAATTAGATCTTAATGTAACTTCATGATGTGCCTATCATATAGCTCGGTCCATAAGTAATCCTTTCCTACTCAATCCCTATTATGTCTCAATATTAAGTCGAATCTAACACTAATTATCACAATCTAATTTGATATAATTAAGTCGATTCATTGAGCTAAGCTACTGATACATAATACTAAGACTAAAATAGAGGATAATACACTAAACAAACCTTTATACATCTTTCTAAATCTTAGTGGATGTAAAACTAAACCCGTTGCACAACCTCCATCGAATCATCAAATCAACTCTTGCTAAGTGTAAATGTTTATCGGTTGAGTAAAAGATATAAAATTACTGATTATGGTTAGTGGTAATCCGAGAAGCTAAGAAACTAATAATATTTAAAGCAGCAGGAGAGATCTTTCCATATCACATAGGCGATCAAAGTAGATCTTTTGGATCCCCTTGTGGCTAGAAAATGGTGACGGTGACGACATGGTTTGTATGAAGAATGTGTAAATAGAAGATTGTGGTTGTGATTCCTTTCAATTAATGTCAGAATATTAGATGGTCCTCTGCACTGATAAGAATATTATATGCAGCATATGTTGGCAATTTGGTCTTATCCTTAATCACAGAGATCAATTCCTCGGAATATTTGGTTTTGTGTATGAACTACCTTTCTCTCTCTCTCTCTCCTCCTTTTTCTTCATAATATAAAGAAGATAATTCCTGAGATTATGAAGATACACCAGCTGATCACAAAATAAATCATCTTTGCTCAATGTGCTTTGAATGAAACTAAGCCCATTTTCCTCCAAATTAAAAATTAAAAATCTGATCATCTGTGAGCACTCATGAGATACAAAATTGATTTTTGTATCAGTCTATTTCACCTGACTAGTGGACAAATAAAGGTGGAGAAGAAAACTAAAGTTTCATATTTGATGTTGACAAATGCAGACTGGTTTACATCCAACAAAGAGGAGCAGACCACTTCACTTCTTTTTTTGTGTCCATATATCAGACTGGAAATATGAATCAGTAATGCAGAATGAACATTACCTGAGGAATTATATCCATTCTGCAACACTTGTCTACTGATTGGATTAGTGGTTTTCATCTGATTCTTTGTGCCTAATAGCTTACAAAAGGCCTATATCAGATTAATAATCATGCAGAACTACATAAAATTGACCTTAATTGTTAGAAAATATGCTTGAATTTAAGGTGTGAAATCACACATCCCAATTTAAATCCCAAGGAAGAGATAGCTTTTGCTCTCACAGTTGATCAGACTAACATAGTGGCCAAGCAAATCTTTACTCCCACTACATAACTCAGTGCCTAAAACTTCTCTCAGTATGAGTTACAAGATAAAGTGAAATAGTGAATATTCTCAAATCCAAAAGGTCTTAATGGATTTACATGTGTTATCATTCTTTCCTCATCCTTCATCAGAATCAATTTAGATATATCAACCTCTCTTTTTTACTTGCTTAGTTGTTCCATCAAATTTGCACAAGAGTAGCAAAAACTCCTCTTAACTTTTGCAGCAATCTTAATCTCCAATACAATGCTCGGTCTAAGTTATAGAATAGTAAATTGGTCCACTAATTGACTGTAGAACACTGATTAAGATCTTTCCATCTTTAAATGCTACTTGCAGAATTGATCAGCTATCCAAGAAAGATTGTCATTCTGCAGCATGGGCAATGGGAGCTGCTTTCCAGCCATGGCAGCACACAATTCCAGTGGAACCTGTGAGCGCATGGCAGGTGAACCAACATGTCTCCTTCCTGGAAATCCTCCAAGCACACTGCACAATCTGCTTGCTCTGATGCCTTCCACCTCAACTTGCTCCAGCTAAACTTCCTGGTGCTCTTCTTGGAAGAGAACACCTGCCTCTGCACGCTGCCAAGGATCCTGTGCAGCCGTCCATGGCTGCACCCTTCGCTCTTGCCCAGCTTCATGCATCCCAAGCTGTTGTGCCTGCAACTCATCGACGGTGGTACATGAGAGAAGAAAGCAGATGCAAATGGCATGAACAAAGCTCATGTTGTATACGTACCTTTTGATCCTCAGTCTTGCATCCAACCTCTCCCTGGCTTCCCTAGCTGTATGTCCAAGTGCCTCTTCATGGATCTCCTTGTTCATGATGGATCTCTGCTGATGACTTTGCATCTGTGTTAGCCCAAGGAAGGAAGATGAGCAAGTATAGACTTGAGAAGGTCTCTGATACCATGGAGATACTACTGCTGGGATGCATGTCATGCCCGGTTGTGCAAAGGGGGAAGGCTGATCTCCTTGAGCAGCTGGTTAGGGAGTCGACGGAGCCACCGTTCTGGAATCGCCGCCGCCGGGCGCACTCCACGCCGGGGAGCATGCCGGCCATGATCATTACACCCCTCAACAAGTAGGTCTTGAGCAAATAAGGAAAGAAGAAGAGCAAAGCTCGCTCTTCCAATCAGTACATGTCTCACAGCCTTCCCTCAGACGCTGAGCTGCTGTCCAGCCACCACAGAAGCTTGTAAATAGCATGGTGTTCATGTGGCTTATGGGGTCAGCAGGGGAGAGAGAGATAGAGATAGAGAGAGAGAGAGAGAGAGAGAGAGAGAGAGAGATTCTGGTTGTGATGGCAGACAAGAAGCCACGAGTGACATCTCTACTATTATTTGTGGTCGGTACCCATAGTAGAGTTTATTACAAGCCCAAGATTCCCCTAATCAAAATTTGTTACAAGGCAAGGAAAGATCATATGATTGTATCCTTTTTAAGTAGGAATTCAACCAATACTTATAGTGTATTTCTTTTCTTTAATGTTCTAATTAATATTTTATTTATCACATTTTACACAAACAATATCATCTTACATAAAAATCGTCAAGCCCGAGAGAAATATCTAACAAGTCCATCGAGTGTTATGTAAGATTTAAATAAGAAAAAAACACATGGAGAAGATCAACTCATAGAGAAACTCAAAAGTCTTTGATCATCCAAATCACAAAAGATTCACACCTGCATATACTAATGGCTATCATTGTCCTTTGATAGCCTGGCTTTGGATCCATGCTGTTGGCAACCACACCAGTTTCCACTGCCTCAATAGAAATCACAAAGAACAACAGTTCAACAAGCCATCAATCAACTTCTCTTTGGTAATATCACCAAGTTTGAACCTATACAAAGGTCCTCATATCAAGCTTCAAATCCTACAAATCACCCTTGTGAATATAGTTAAAAAGAGGGAATAAATTTATGTCTCCAGATAGTGCACATCCACTCTTATCAATTTGATACAACCTTCCATATGACTCTGACATAATCTTTAACGCTTAAAGAATCATACAGTTCCATAATTGCCTAACAATGTCTACAAAAATGATGATGGACAAAAGGAACGGAAGTGCAGGGTCTTCAGAAGAACAAAAAAGAGAAATGGCTGTGAGTGCCGAGAAATGCTTCACTGCTGTCTTCATCTCACAAATCTAATGTCAACTTTCCTCTTTCTTGGATTCCTGTTGTTCCCAAATCTGCTTCTGGAATCCATTTCCCAAATGTTCCCAAGAGCATTTATGCTTCATAAAGATATAGATGCATTGCATTGCATTGCAGAAAGGATGCGAATATCGTGATCTTTTCCCATGCAGTGGAGGACAACAAAATGATTTATTTCTGACATAGTGCCACACTGACTATCAATGACGACACACCGGAATTACAATGAAACAATAAGAACTTGGGATCGCTGCATCTTGAATCTCGACGCATGATTGCTTCCCATAAATTTCCATGGTATTCCTCCCCCTCATGTGGCTTTCTAAAACTTGGAACTTATGCAGCTCAGACCTAAATGACACTGGTAATTATCAAAAATTGTTTTCTTTTTCCTTGCTTGCAAAAGGTAAAAGGCAAAAGACGAGATTCGAACCCGAAACCTTACGATAATCAATAACATGATATCCATTGTTAAAAGAGCCCTAACGATAACCTCAGCAAGCAAATCAGAAACACTAAAACATCCTCACATTTGGATCACTACATAATGTAAACATAAGACATGGGTGCCAGCATAGCTGTCCATGTTGAAGCCTAAATGTCCATAGTAATATCAGCATGAGGGACAACAAGAGAAAAGCGACTTTATATGAACACTAAGTACTTCTAAGATGTGATAGTTCTTCATGATGATACTAGTATGAACTTATGCACACACTAAAAGGTACAAGCATTACTCCATTCATGCTAGTTTCTTGTTACAGTAATCAGAACTACCAGGCTATTGGCTAACAAGCACATTGACCGACTTCTCTCAATCACATCACTTTGCAAACTTGGCATGATGTTACAATTTTCAAAGCATACAAAAGAATCATGAACCATGTCTCAAGCCAAATTCTATCCCACTAAAGAAAAAAAAAGAATTTGAAGGCCTTAGAAATGACTTCACCCTAAAAGGTTCATAAATGAAAATTGGACCAAAATTCTTGGAAAGAACATAGATGAAATATAATAACATAATGTTCAGAATATAAATCAGATCATGCCTTGTCTACTGGCTTAAACTTTTGGATGGAATGACATTGAACAAGAACCTAAGTTATTACCGAAACAAACTATACCAGCAAACAATAACAGACAATTTTATACAAACTTTCATTTGAATGTGTTGCCATTACTTTCAGAGAACTTTATACAAACAATAGCAGCAAAAATATCTCCACATGGAATTTGTAATACCATCATTAATTCATTAGTGGCTAGTCACTGCAATTCCTGGTTCATTATGAGAACACGCCAGTTAATCTTATTATTACTCAGAAAAGGGCAGGCTGAAAGAACATGCTCGATAGATTCAGAATTATCATGGGATAGAACACACAAGGATTGCTGCAACACATTGCATTTCACAAAGCAATCCTGAATCGAAATGTTTCGAGGCTGATCAATGAATTATTGCATGCCTTGGACTTCTTCTTTGACTGTGCCAGAGAAACTTATACCAACTACTAGACTGATAGTTTGAATACCTTGTAAGAAAGAAAATAGCAATATCAGATTGTTCACTAATATGCATTTCTCTACCACCTCCCAAAGTATGGTAGCGAATTATTTGCAAGAGGCAGGGACAATTGGCTATTTACAATTAGATCAGAGGCCTTTACCTGTATATTTATGCCAGAATTTTCTGCTAGCATAACTAAAATCTCTCAGTAAAGCCTTGAGGAAGCCAATTGTCATAACAGAAGAAGATAGAAGAACCACTGCCTGACTAAAACCAAATATCCCACAAGCTCTCCTTTTAGCTTCAGACTTTTGTTTCAGGCCCCATGAACAGTCTGAAGGCTCTCAAATATCCTTAATTAACAACTCCTTGTACATCTGCTTCTTATTTCAAAAATGTTCATTGGAGACTCAGAAAATTAAGGTTGCTCCAACTTTATAATCTGAAGTTTTGACTCCTCGTCATTACGATAGGTAAGTGAATAAAGTTCTACTGATCAAGTTAACTGCCAGTATGTCAGGAACATATGATAGTGATAATGGTAGAGTTTGATGTAAGCAGCAAAGGCTTCAAAATCTAAAGAAAATTCCTCAATTTCAAACACTTACGAATCACACAAATATATGGATACATATGACTGGCCCTTTCAAGATAATTCATCCGCATTGACTCCACCTTCAACTTGCATACCATCTGTAGTTACAAATCAACAACCACAAGGATACATTAAAGCAAAATCGCAATTCCAGGCATATAGCTACAAATCATAATGCGGCAAAATCTATCCTTTTTCACATGGACTCCATTTCAACAAGATGAATTTTGATGAAAATGAACAAATGAAGACCACAACTCTAAATTAAACATATTAGTGTACTACCATAATGAATCAATACAATGCGATCGCACAACAAAGTGTTTGCTTACAAAACAAAATATAAGAATAGCTATGCATAGATCACGAAGTTACCAGGAAAAGGACGCAGGGCCTCGAAAGCCGCAGACGGGCTCGAGGCGTCGCCGTCGAGCATTATGACACGGCCACCGGCGAGCCCATCCTGCCTGTAGAGATTCGCGAACTCCGCCGGAAGCTTATCGGTAACGGGAGCCGCCGTGGCGCCGACTTTCCCCTATCGCTTTCGTATCCCATATATCAGCGAACGCGAGAAAATCTTAGGAGGGAAGGAGAAGAATGAGCAGTACCTTGTGGATGTCGATGTAGGGGCGGCAGTGGGGCGGGTCGGATCGGGCGGGGGTGGCTGCTGCTCCGGTAGTTCGTGGGATGAGGGGGCGGCGATAGATTCGTGTCTCGCCTTCGGCTCAGTTGCCATGTGGCGATCAGAGGTGGTGGCGGCGGCGTTGCAAGAGGCGCTGCCATCACACTGGGGGGCGATGGGGATTTCATGCGGGGGTTTGCGACTCTCTCAGTGTACAATTAAGATCCGACCGTTCACGCCCCAAATGACGGTTAGATCCTCGACCGCAGATTATGTCGAATCGTATTGCTTCTAGATGCGTGCAGCAAATCAATTGATGTCTGTGAGATCTGTGGCAAGAGCAACAAACATATGATGGAAGTGAGTGTTTGGAATCGTATCAATAAGTTCTCACAAAGCAAGAAAACTAAATCAAAATAATAATAATAATAACTCTACTGGGTTTAAAAGATAATTCATTTTGATGAAGCTATTAGGAGGTTTGATTCATTTGCATCATCATATTTCCACCACCAGCCACAAAAACCAACATTCGATGATGTTAAAGAACAATTGCACAGAATATAAATTGTCTGCCATTGGGTTTCCTTTGTCTTGTTTGTTTGATCGATTCGATCTAATGTTTTTTTTCCCCCAATTTTTCTTCTTTTTTGCCATATTTTAATGTATAGATTTACTGTTCCATCTCCCGTAAATCCCAAGATATCCTTTCTTTTTTTTCCCTCCAGATCTATGAGAGATGGGTTTCGCGGCAGGATCCAGCGCCAAGATGGGATTTTTCGGTGGCCTCGAGCCTCTGGATTTTGATCTCTTGCCTGGCGATACGTTCCGGCGACGGGTTCTACCTTCCCGGCAGCTACCCGCACCGGTACCCCGCCGGCGGCGCCATCCCGGTCAAGGTAAACTCCCTCATCTCCATCGACACCGAGATATCCTTCAGCTACTACAGCCTCCCGTTCTGCCGCCCGGTGGAGGGGATCAAAGACAGCGCCGAGAACCTCGGGGAGCTTCTCATGGGCGACCGCATTGACAACTCCCTGTACCGCTTCAAGATGTTCACGAACGAATCCGATGTCTTCCGCTGCCGGTCCGACCCGCTCTCCGCCCACGACTTGGGCCTCCTCAAGAAGAGGATCGACGGTTAATCTGATCCTCGAGAACCTCACCGCCATCCGGTTCCGGTACACCAAGAAGGGCCATCTCCACCTCCTGTGGACAGGGTACCCGCTGGGGTTCTGGATCGGCGACGCCTACTAGGTGTTCAACCACCTGAAGTTCACAGTTTTGGTGCACAAGTTCGAGGATGCCCATGTGGCGAAGGTGACGACCACGGGGGATGCATCTGAGGCGATCCTGGAGAAGGCGGAATCCGAGTTGCCCGGATGGATGGTGGTCGGCTTCGAGGTCGTCGTGCCTTGTAGCTTCAGGCACGGTGCTGAGTCGGTCAAGAATCTCAAGATGTACGACGAGTACCCGGCGAAGATCCAGTGCGATCCCACGAAGGTGGCGATGACGGCGGAGGAGAACCAGCCCATCGTCTTCACCTATGAGGTTGCATTCGTGGAGAGCGACATCGAGTGGCCCTCTCGCAGGGACGCCTACTTGAAGATGGAGG